ATTATGAAATTATCGGCAGATTATGAAGCTACCACTATATTATGAAGCTACCAGCAGACTATGAAGTTACCATTATATTATGAAGATACCGGTAGACTATGAAGTTACCACTATATTATGAAGACACCAGCAGACTATGAAGTTATCTTCATAACCTAATCTAAGTCGCCAGCAACTTCATGATATAATTATATCATGAAGTTGCTGGCGATTAATACATTTCTTCTTTAAATGCATATTTTCATTATACTAAAAAGTATATTTAGAGAGAATTAACTGTAAATATTTGTATTTTTATATTTCTAAAATAATAGATAATAAAATATATAATTTTTAATTTTTAATTTTTTTAAAATTAATATATTTATTTTTAAAATCATTAGTTAATTACTTTTTTTTAATTTTTACTTAAAAACCTCATAAAATTTATAACTTTAATTATTTTATTTATAAATTAAAATTATTTTAATTATTTTTAAATATTTTAATTAATTAGTGATTTTTTAAAGATAAATAAATGATAAATTATTATAAAAAAAAATTAAAATTTTAAATTTATATATTTTGCTTTTTATTAACTCAAAAATATAAAAATACTATTATTTAATAGGTTTTTATAAGATGATTTAATAAATGAATTTTATTTTTAAATAATTATTATATAATATATTATTTTTAAAAATTAAAAAATTGAAAAATTAATATATATTAATAAATAAAACTTTATTTATCTTTTTATAATTATTAAATATCAAAATATTTTAGTTTTTATAAACAATTTTATATTTGTAATTTAAGGAATAAAATATTAATTTTTTAATAAATTATTTTAAAAATATTTAAAATAATTAAAATAAATTGCTCAAATGTTTTTAAATTTATTTGAAAATTAAAAAATTTAATTTAAAATTTATAAATTAAAATACATATATACTTTTTTTATTATCATTGATAACTTTGATTGATTAACTTTTAACTTTACAAACAAATGAAAGGTATCATGTAATATATATATAATATATGATCACTTTAACCTGAAAGTGAGGGATAAGTACTTATATTTAAAATTATATTAACTAATATTTATTACTACCTTTATTACAATTTATATTTAAGATATTAAAAATAAATCTAATAATAATTATTATTAAAATTTTAAATGATTAAATTTTAGGTCAAAATATGTTCAGATTTAATATTAACTCATTTTTTATCTTTTTTTTATATTATAAAAATTTATGTTTAAAAAAGATTTTTAATTTAATATATAATTAAAATTTGCATAAAATTATTTAATATAAGATCTATTAATTAAATTAATTTTACATTTTAATATAAATCATATTTAAGAAATTTTAATATTATAAAAAAATTCTTTTTAATTCTCAGATATTCTAAAATAATGATTAAAAATTTTTTATAAAGCATTTAATTTTTTAGCTTTATTAAAATTTATTCAAATAATATAATTACTATATAAATATCTGAAATTTATTTAAATAGTAAAAAAGTTAAAGATAATTAGATTGTATAAAATAAATAAATTCTTAAAATAGAAACCTCTAATTTTAAATTCCAGATATTTATATTGAAGTAAAAATAAGTTAGTTAGAAAAGTTTGTAAAGAATAAGAAAAGTTTATGTTATTTTGAAAAGTTCAGATTATGAAGAGAATTTTCAATTAAAAATAGCAAGAAATTCTTTATTTTCATTATAAAATTACTTCTATACTGATAAAAGATGAATTAATAATCAAATATCCTAATGGGTTAATGCCAAGCCAGTTAGGAATATATAATGTCATTATATTGTTATCAATAAAAATTAATAATTTTACATTTTAAACTTAATATAATATTAAAAATGTCAATTTTATTTTAGCACGAATCAAGTGGGTCTACGTGGTACAAATAGTATAGTATATATATTAAATTACAAAATTATTCAATTAACTACGAAGGTTCATTCCAGCAAGAATATCCTTATATAATAGAAATAATTATTAAAACAATATAAAAAGATTAGTTGATAAAAATATCCATATTATGTACCTGAAATTTGTTGATATTACGTAAGAACCAATCTCCGTAACGTCGCCCAACTTTAGATTCAGCAATATGAATCATATCCTAATTTCGATAAAGAGAATTTAACAGACGATAACAGTTATTAAATTAATAATAAAATATTTTACCTGCTTCAGACAAAAGTCCAAATCCGAGGTAGTAACATATTCACCCTCAAGTAAGGTGCCGCTGATCCATTTTTGTTGCCGTGATTTTTGTTTGACAATAAGTAACTGAGTCCTAATATAATAAAGTATTAAATTAATTTTCGAGGAAATTAATTTATTTCTTAGAAGAATCATGTTACCTTAATTCTTCAGCTTCAATTTCAAGAAAAGCTGCTAACTTATCAATCCCCATAGTAGTATATAACCTTAAATACGACCGTAAAGTTGGAATGAGAATTTGATGACGCACCTCGGAAAGGAAAATTTTGGCATGATGATGATGAGGTTCCTAATTTATTACAATTAGTTATTTAAATCACTAACATAATAAATAAATAAATATATAAATATTGATGATTTCTTACAATAGTTTGCGTTAGAGCATTTGGATCGTCAAAGTTTGGCCCATTTGGTGAAATAAATTTTGGGCATGCATACAAGAATAAATCTTCAAATGTTTGCAACCCCTCCTCGCTATAATATTTTAAATTAACATTTTTCATACCAAATAGGCAATTAATTATCACGAACTTATATGTATTTACCCTCGTTGCATCTTTGACGAATGATCCCCATATTTCTCTTTTAAGTGAGTATGAATGCTTTCGTCCAAACGAGTTGGACAAAGTGCAATACATACAGCCAATAGCGCATACATTTGGTCACCTTTCTTGTTGATCTATTATTATTAATAAAATAAATTGAGAATTCGTGTTGAATTAAATAGGGAAAGGAAACATGTATATAGAATGAGCGAACCTGATCAAACTGATAAGATCTAGTATGATACATCTTTGTCCGTGCGATAAAGACAAGTATATGCGAAAATGCTCTGATTGCATCTGCGTATCGTCTCATCATCATGTATGCAAATCCAACATAATAATATGTTGTGACGTGGCATGCGGTAACACGCGCAAATAAGGCCTATTCAGAAAAAATATATTTTTTAGAATAAGTAATCCAAAAGTGTGAAAAAAAATCTCCTTAAAACTATACCTTTTTATTGAGTTCAATATTATCCATCATTTTGAGCGCTAATGTATAATCTCCCAATAAACAATGGACACGTAAAAGACCGATGATACTGAAATAACCAAGCATCTTATATAAAGGACGTGAGCCATACTCTCCCGCAGCTTCACTATGTATTAAAAAGACATAAGATCGATCTCAGATGTAAAATACAAGTTGAAACTAAATTATCCATTCAACTCACATCATATCACCACCGTGTTTGCTTACGAGCAATTGTTCAGTAATTCGAGATTTTGTGATAAGCGAATACAAGACGTTCAACACGCTGTAGCAACTCCACACCTTATTTAAAGATACGAATCAAAGTGAATATAAAATTTAGAATAAAAATTTCAACCACAAAACAAAAAAAAAAACCTGAATATTTTCTCGCAACAAAGCAATTTCTTCATCAGTTTTGTTCTTGAGACGATTACGATAATTACAAAAAGATTGAAATTGATAAATGAATTCGTCAATAATATCCCAAAGCCATTGATTGGGAAGTTCTAAACTAACAGGTCCATCCGAATCTAAAGAGAATAAGTAATTAAAAAACTCATCAAAGTCCTAAAAACATGAAATTCCAGTTTCTTTTATACTTACTCAAAATAAAATTAAAAAGATCACAATAATTCTCATAAGAATGGAATCGATGTTCAATGGTAGGGGAAAGTTTTGAATAAATGTGTCGATAATATAATTCGCGATACAAAGTCAAAAACACTTGGTCTAATAACAATTATGTTAATAATATAATTCGATCGTACGTATAAATCGTACGTATGAATAACGGATCACATAGCTAATTACCATCGTTTACCATCGGAGCAATATAATCAGCCTCGGGCCAAGGCGTTTTTGCATAAAATTTTTCTGTTAGACGATTAAAAGAGTTTTCGTATATGCCATGTAATTCGTAAACGTTGTTTTCAAGGATGTTACGATGAAAATATATTATGAAATTTTTAACGACTTCAGGTATTTCTTGAGCGTATTGTTGTTGAAGCATTAATTGAAGTTGCATTTGATCCTGGAGAGCTATGTAATTAATAATATAAAAGTGAATTAACTACATTGGTACTCCTCGAATTCGTAATTTGTTTTATACCTTCTTCTTCAAGATCTTCGTCAACACCAGTAAATTCATTAGCCAGTAAATCTATTTCTTCCGCGAGATCAATGTCCTCTTCATAACCTTCTTGATATGCCATTTTGAGATCAAAGGTCAAACAAAAATCGTGAAAATTTTCGATTTAATTGATCGTAAATTTATTAGCCAATCAGATATTTTGAATATAAAAATTTTTAAGGCTTAAAAAATTATGTTACTCTACAACTAGAACGAAGAGATATTGCCGTCGCAGAGTTTTTTTTCTTTGAAATTTTTGGCTTGTTAGAAAACTCAACAATGAATATGATAAACTTCCCAATAGTAGCAACTTTCAAGAAAACTTTTAAATGACAATTCTATTGAAAAATTGCTAGAATTGAGAAACAGAATATATTATCTCAGCGCAACAATAATTCAATACGCAGATGATATTATTTTTCTCGTGGATGAAGAATTCTCACAAGAAATGGATACTCTAAATTTGTACTATGAAAATATCTATATAAATACACGAAGAAATTTTCAAACTCCATCATAAATTCTTTCAATTATTTTATTGAACTCATTCTATACACAAAAACTTTTCCTATCTATTTATAAATCTTAATTTTAAATGTCTAGAAATATGCAAAAATCATGTCAGTTTACAATTATTTGATCTTGGGTAGTAATAAGTGTGAGGCATCTATAACTTCAAAGAGAACAAGAACTTCTGAAAATGATAAGAGATCAGGAAATACCAAGACCAAAAGGCATAATGTTGAATCATCAACATTTTCTAAGAGAATAAAAATTAGTTTGAGTTCATCAGATTACTCAAATATTTGGAGAAACAGTCCTATAAATCATGAAGGAAATTTTGTTAGAGAATAATAAAGTAAATTTGCTTTACCTAATAATATCAAGGTTATTATTAGAAAGGCAGAAGTGATGAAAGAATATTTAGAATGATAAAAATACTGTAATCAGACTTAATGATAACAAGGTTACCTCTAAAGGTCTTTCAAATGCTCTTCAAATAATTGAAGACATTACATACATTGGTGAATATGAAGAGTAAGAAGGATTTATTTTAATTAATCAAAATATGATTGATCTATATAGTGTAATATAAATAATGACATAATTGATATAGTTAATGTAACATATTTAACATATTTAACATAGTTAAATTAGTTAAAATAGTTAATATAGTTGAAATAGCTAAAATAGTTAACATATTATTCTATATACTTTAAAATATGGGTGTTTTGCAATTTTTTACTTTTTAAGCTAAATATTATTTTTTTAGTAAAATAAATTCAGATTTAACATTAACTAAAAAAAATTTTTTTTGGTAATTTCCTTCCTTTCTACTACAAAACGCTTATATATATAGGATTTAATTATTTAAATTTTTCAGGTAGATTCATTTAGTAGAATTTTTTTAAATAATTTTTTTTTACATATTAAGGCTATTAAACAATACTAATTAATCATGTTTTATTTTTAATTAAATAATTCTTTATTTCTTTTATTTCTTTATTATTATTTTTCTTTTTTTTCTTATTATTCTTATATTTTATCAATAAACTATTTTATTATAAACTATCAATCTGTATATTCTTTTTAGTAATAAGTAATTATATATAAAATATAAATTCTTAATATAATGCAGAACCTCTATAATAAAAACTTTATTATAGTAAAAATATAACAAATTTAAAATGAAAAAAAATTTTATTATATATAAAATTAAAAATTTAATTCATAAAATAAATAAACTATAACCTGTTTTTTAAAAATTTTGAATTAGAATTTTAATACCTTTAATATTAATAGAATTATGCTAGATTAAATTTTATTTAAAATTAATTATAAAAACTGAAAATTAAAAAAAATATGTAATGATGAATTCATGAGAATAATTCTTTTATTCAAAGATATTAAATAGTTCTAAGTGATTCTAAAAGTCCTAAAAAAATTATAAAGAATTATATTTACAAATTTATTATGAAATTTTGTCTATTATAATATTTTCATAGGCTATTAAATGAAAATATATAATAAATCCTTTTGAAATTCCAGAATTTCTTAAAATTGAAAATTTAAGAATTTAGAACTGGGTTTTAAAGACTGGTCCTATACTTAACAATCTCATCAAAATTGCTAATTTGAATATTATTTTTACTTTTTACAAATTAATTATAAAATTTTTATTACATTTTTTTAATGAGAATTACTTATTATAAATAAGTGATTAATCTTCAATCTCTTAAATTATAAGAATCACTTAACATCTATACATTTATTATTTATATATTTTATTTTAAATATTATTATTAATTGAATTATATAGAGATATATTAAGTATAACAATATATATATATATGAAAATATTATAATTACATATAAATTAAATTATAACAAATTATTTTAAAGTATTAGATTCAGATCCTTTAGTTACAATTTGAAGATACAATCACACCTCGATATAACGAAGTTGCTGATCCAGCCGATCAGGACTTCGTTATAAGAATCTTCGTTAACGCTATAACG